CACATAGAAGCAGCAATGAGTGGTTGTGTCTCCGATTTGCCCACAACTGTCATTGTTGTTGGAGCATAAGTCAAATTTGCCATTAGCCCTATACTGTACAATTTGGTCATACATATGTATTGTTGACCTCCTAAGGTGGAATCACGTCAGCCATCCCAACCTCAGCATTTATTTTACCAGGGCTAGCAATGGCAAAAGTGACGATTGGGTAGTGATGGTACATGCGCTCATTAAAGTGACACTAAAAACTCAGGAGTTAAACTTTAAAAAAAAAACTAGGGATGCACTGATACCGGTTTTTCAGTATCGAGTACGAGCACCAATATATTTTTTTCCGGTACTCGCCACTACCGATAACGGAAGTCCCATTAAGGCAGCTGGGTGGCATGTAATGACTCGCCACCCGGTTACCTGATTAGCCGAGAAGCCGTCTCCATGCTCCCTCGTCAAAGCATGGAGCTGGCTTTCTGGGCAATCAGGAAGCCGGGGGGAGGGTAATGACTCACCGCCCTGCTTCCAGATTGGTCGGGAAGCTGGCCAATCAGGAAGCTGGGCGGCGAGCCATTACACACCGCCCGGCTTACTGATTGGTCGGAACGCTGGCTCCATGCTCCCTGGTGACAAGGGAGCATGGAGCCGACCTCCTGGCCAATCAGGAAGCCGGGCAGCATGTAGTGACTCGCCGCCCAGCTTCCTCATACCGGAAGTTCCAGTATCGGGATAGGCATCGGGAGCATATAGCCGAGTACTTGTACTCTCCCAAATACTCGGTATTGGCACCGATACTAGTATCGGTATCGTGCATCCCTATTAAAAATACATTTTCCTGAAATCATCTCTGAATTGGTGCTGACACTGTCCTTCCTTCTGGAGGGTGGCTACTTTTGTTCCCCATGGTCCCTGTCTGTGTTGTAAAGTAGTCACCGCTCCAAGCTTGCTCCCGGGAGGGACTACAATCTCAATACAAATTAGTAAACTAAATCTGAGCTTATCACAAGAGTGAGCTTCGATCAGTGACTACTTTACAACACACACAGGGACCATGGGGAACAAAAGTAGCCCCCCTCCAGAAGGAAGGACAGTGTCAGCACCAATTCAGAGATGATTTGAGGGTCTACAGCCGAGTGATACACAAATAAGATACATTTTTGTTAATAGTTGAATGCTTGAATGTATTTTTAAGGTTTAACTCCTGAGTTTAGTGTCACTTTAATAATTACCCCATTTGGGAGCATTTGCTGCAGGCAATTTACAAATAGGACTCCGTAGAAGCACCCTAGGTGTGGGGTATAGGGAATATACAGCCAGTTTATAAACATTAGACAATAATGATTACTATTTCCCTCCTTGGAAACAAACAAAAAAAACAAACAGGTTGGAGCAGACGAAGCGAATACAATACGTAACCTTTGTGTAGACTGAAGGATACAGAATCAGCTACTAGCTTACTGAGCTTTATTGCTGTGTGCACTGGTAAGCTGCAAGTCATTGTATCTCAGGCTCTGTTTACATTGACTGTGCACCTAGTTTATCACACATTGCTTCATATTTATAATACAAGCCATTGATGGCAAGGGTTATCTTCAAAATGTCTTCTTATTGGAAGCAAAATACCTGGAGCAGAGACGTTTCTATCCAACCCAAAACTAATCGGTAAACAAATCCACGTCTTACTCATGTCAGGCTTACTTACAGTAACTACCTACCTACAGTACCTTACGTACAGTGCTCCCGGCTGACGCAGGGAATAGGGGTACGAGTCTATGGATGTGTGATGATAACAACAAATGAAACATAAGTAGGCTTAGTTGGCATATGCTCAGAAATGGCTGTTTTTATAGGATAGTGTTGTATTTTATGGGTTAAAAAAGTGTGAGGCCTATCAAGAATGGGTGGGGGCTTCTGAACTATGGATGTCAGAATGGGGTTTGGGCAGGGGTGGGATTGGGCAGCTGAGGGGTTGACCAGGTATTGGATTGTGTGTGTATATGGAATTGGGCAGTTGAGGGATTGGGGGGGCTGGTTGACGGGTTGGTAGGCTGATTGAGGGGTTGAGCGGCTGGCTGAGGGGTTGGGAGGCTGGCATGGGG